CCCCAAATGGGAATGGATTTTGGATGCTACATAAGAGTATCACTGTAAAAGAGGTTCTGCAAGAAATGCTTTCAGAGTTGAGTGTCCCTGCCAAAGACCTTCGTCTAAAGGATTACTGCTCTTTGAGACACACGGTGGTGTAACTCTGGATTTTAATGGCCCTCTTCTGAAACTTTCGAGGCCTTTTCTAGGTATTCTAGGCTGTTTGCAATACATCTGTAGCATAGATTTACAATGGAATCACATAATTGAAGAGTGATACTCTATTCAGAGAAGTACCCTGCCAAATTACTAGTTGTCTTTCAGTTTAATTTTTACTTACCTTGTTTTGATAAGCTGTTGTTAAAATGGACTTTCTTATGGGAAATGTTTCCCTCTGTTTCCTTTGCCTGGTGGTGGTGTGCATGTAAGTGCTGAATCCTTTAATCGATTTCATAGAGAGGTTTGATGCCTGCTCTGTGTGAGAATTAGGTATGTGTATGTACATTTCTGTGTTAGGGAACAGCAAGAAAACAGGCTAAGATAATTTTTTTTCTCCTCAGCTGATTTAAACTGAGCTTAGAAGAGCCACACAGGCTCTGATCTTGGTTTTGCAGAAGGCAGATGGAAGCCAGGACTGTGCATAGCAGCACCCCAAAAGAACAGAACCCTCTGTGTTCCCTCTGCAGCCCTTCTGCAAGGGTACGGGGTGGGAGGTGAAATACAGAACAAGAAGGTACCAGAGTTTGAGGAGGGAACGACAGAAGGATAATAACCATGAGCTGTTTGATTACAACTGTTAACACTTAACGCTTAACAGCCTCTTTATTTCCTTCATGAAGTTGGAAGGATGGAAATTCTGGAGAGCAGCTAGATTCTTGGTTTCAGCTGTGGAGCTAACTTTCCCCCGTAAAAGTCCTAATAGTGAAGTAGGTTGGTGTACATGTGCAGGTAAACCAGAGCTAACCTGCTGTGTCTGAAATTAAGATAATACTGCTATTGGGAGATCCGTGACATTCTGCTTGAAGGAAATGGACGTGCCCAGTTTTGAAAAGGCTGAGAACCATAACATGATACAAGATCATAGGAATTAGTAGGCAGGATTGCAAGAAGATTAGTAAACAGAAGCATAAAAAAAAAAAAATCTCCCCTCTTTGTTTGTCAAAGAGATGTACTTTCATGAAAGTTTTTGAAGATTGTTGATAATTACAGAGAGATTTAGTCTGGATAAGCTCTTGAAACTTCAGATAGAAATTGGAATCTTACTGAATCCTGTTTACTTCTTTACCAACGGTACCTAACCTGGAGTATTCAACATCTACCTTCTGCATCTTGTTCATGTGTCCATTGGATTTCATACTAATGCAGCTACAATAAGATTGCCTAACCTGGGCATAAATAGGAAATAAATCAGTTGAGGGCAGTCGGTGGCACTAAGATTCTCTTACTTGCCGCACTGGATGATGACCTGCTGGTATTGGGGAAAACTCAAGATGTTTCATAGTTAGGTGTTGAGATGAATTTCTTAAAGGTAGGCCTGAAGAGGTGCAAATTGAGATCATACTTTAGAATGGCTTGGCTTTTAATTAGCATATTGATTAATTCCTAATAATTACAGCTTTTATGCAAGAGACTTAAAGTTGCTGTATGTTGCATAAATTGATAAGCAGTAGTAGAAAAAGGAAAGCTCGGAACAAGAAATATTTTTTCCGAAGATGATTTTATTTGTCAGTTTGCTAAGGTGTGTGCTGGAGTATTCTGCAGCCAAACCTTGCTTTTATTGGTACATTTAATGTATGGACCAGTTATCTAATACATGTTAAACCCTGTATACATTTCTTTGAATTCATGTGGGATCAATAGCAGAAACAGCTTGTTTTGATTCTTTTAGGTAAAACCACAAAGTTCAAAATAAAGTGGTATTTTTCTTCCTTGGAATAAAATTATGCTTAAGCTTGCAGTTTTCCCCTCACTTTAACCTGAAGTAGGTGGAGCTTGCTGCTGGAACAGGTGATATTTTCTTTTCCATAAGCTACAAGTTCCTGTGGCCTAGGTTTTGAAGCAAATAACAGTTCTTGTGGGATAGATTAAAGCGTTTATCTGGAAAAAAAAAAAATAACACCACCAAAACAGAAAGTTTTGAGACATGCCAGTTCCCTTATCTAGTTTGACGCTTGGAAAAATGAGCATGAAGTGCCAGAGCAAGGTCATGAAGGGTATTGAGCTTTTAGGGAGGTACTGCCCTTTTTGGGGGCAGGTTGTATTTGTATGGGGCTACGGTGACTGAGTCACAGTGTGAAATACTGGCGTTGCTAGGTAGTCAGAGGGAAACTGTAGATTGGCTAAAAAGAAGCAGAAATTGAGGTTTTGCAGATTGCAGTACTGGCATGAGTTAAGTTTAAGCGTGTCTTGAAAATTCCGTGTTTGTAGTATGTTATTTTATACTTAAGAGTAGCATGGAGTACTTAATGTTGAAATATGCGTCTGAGAATTTAGCAAATGCTTTTCTAAGCATCTCCAGATACTTAGAGATGTATCTGGAGATGTATCTCTAAGATACTCCAGTATCTTAGAGATGTATCTGGAGATGTATCTCTAAGATACTCCAGTATCTTAGAGATGTATCTGGAGATGTATCTCTAAGATACTCCAGTATCTTAGAGATGTATCTGGAGATGTATCTCTAAGATACTAAGCAGTAGTACCTGAGATAGTGTGGATTTCTTGAGAGCAAAGCACCTCAACATGCTCTCCAAATACTAACAGTTATCGAAACTAAGATGCTATTTTAGAGTGATAAATCATCTACAGATTCTCCTGAGTTTGTCTGATTGATTATGACTGATTACAATCGATTATACATACTGCATGGGTAATATGGCCTTGAAGCCGTTTCTTTTCTGAAAATTGACTTTACAGAAATATTGCTTTATTATTCATGCTTACAACCTGAATGTATTTACAAGCACGTCTGCCATAGTGATAAAATAGCATATGTATCAAAAATAAAATAGATTATTAAACTTCAAATACAGGGTTAATCATTTATGTTGCTACAAGCTCTACCAAAACAATGGAATTGTGTAAATCCCACATGAAGGCATAGCTTGAATGCCACTGGACTGCTGAAGGATCAGGAAGACCATAATAGTTAAACAGTGAGATAGGACAGAAATATTTTGGCTGGAAGAGAATTCAGCTTTTTCTTGTCATTCTGAGGTGAGTTTGTAGGTCTGGCTGTTAGAATTTACTTTCTTCCCGTATTTAATTTGGTAATCTTTAAAAATTATAAAACCCACAAGGACCAGGTTTAATACTGCTTCTCGGGCAGAAGTGCCGAATATCTCTATGTAGAGCAATCTACTGAAATTAAATGATTGTGTAAGCATTTCTATTACTCTTATTTTCTGTGTCAGTTTTTTCCATTGAAACAAAACATTTTCCCACACACAGTAGAAGCAATAATTTTAAGAAGACTAGAGACAGTCCAGAAATGTAACTATGCAGTGAGTAGGTTTTTTTGCATTCCAGAAAGCTAGTTAAAATGTCCTAGATGCAGTATGGAAGTTATAAGACTTACATATATAAAACCAAGAAATTGTGAGTCTCCCGTTACACAGTGATTACACATGTGTTTTTCCCAATAGAAAATGTTTGACCTCTTCCAGACACATTTATTTTTGGTGTGTCTATTTTACAAACATAAATTAATCTCTTAGTTACAACCAAGGCCATAAAATCTTGTTTAAGATTTTATGAAATTTTATGAACTTTTGAAGATTTGCTGAAATCTGAAACCTATTCTTAGAAAGGTTTTGGAAAACCAAGTTCCGTTTGTAGTTGTGGACTGTTGTCCCTTAGCGTGTAGCAACTGCAGACACCTCCCAACTTCTCTTTGTGTTCAGATGCCTCTCTGAAAAACAAGTCTTACTTGCCTGTTAGAAGAAAACATAGACATGAGTTAAACCATGTGCTACTTGCCTTTCTTTAGTTTGACACCCAAAGAATTTTAGGGATACTCTCTGACAAGAATAGTGAGGACAATGGCATCTTGCGACATTTCACTGATAAGGTGCTGCGTTCGTATTTTAACATACTGTGAGAAGTTAGCTGTATCATTGCTCCTTTTACGGAACAGCTTGGGTTTAGGTTTTTTCATCTTTGAAATAAAGTTCAAGATAACTTACGTTTTCTTCAAGATACTGATTCCACAGAGGAACTTGCCTTGTTAGGGGTGAAAAAAGTTTTCAGATAGCAGTAGCATAGTGTCTGTTAAAAGGTTTGACAGTGTAACACAAAGACGTAGTAATTTATAACACTTAAGAGTTGTGTACTACTAAGTTCACGTGTAAATCAGCTGGATGGGAAATATACCAGAAACTCCTGACATCTGTCAGCTCTTAGGAGGTGGGAACTTAAGAGCTGTATAGTACTTGCGCAACTCTGGAGGGATAGTTGTACTCTCTTCTCCTGCCTCAGGTACGATAGCTTTAGTTGCGCTGGATACTTGAAATAGCAGCATCCATAGAAGATTTACACTGGAGTGTATTATGGAGGTGTCTTTCCTGTTATTGTCAACAGCTGTGCCCTACACTAAGAAGCAATATTAAAGTGTTATTCTCTTCTCTTCTGGAGATGTGGGATGACTGAAATAATTTTAGCAGAGTTGTTTAAAGTCTGTCTGCTGAAGTTAGATGGACTTCCTTGAGTTAAAGTTGCCACTTTTTCAATGATTCAAAAGCCGAAGTTCTCACTCTATTTTTTTTCTTTTTTCTCTGAGCTTGGGTAGTGTCAACAATTTCAGTGCATAAAGATTTATTGCTAAAACTGTAAAAGACTGAAAATGATAGCAGTGAAATTGTGATTGTAGTTTCAGCTCTTACCATACAAAAATATTCGAATGAATTTGACTTTACGAATTATCATCTTTATATTTACGGTTTATTTACAGTGAATGGCATTGTCAATTGTAAACCAAAAGTTTTTTCATACATTAAAATTGCTTCCTTCTGTCTTTGAAGGTTACAGAAAACAGATCAGACCTTGAAGATTTACACCTTTACGCAACTCCTCGGGAGCAACGGTTTCGTAGATTTGCCAGTTTAGAATTTGAAGGACAGCTATATATGACTCCACATGACTTCATTCAGGCTGTCACAAATGATGAACCCAAACGTAAGCAGGAGTTTTGTGCTGTTAAAATTGCTAGGGGAAATGCTAGTGGTGTGCGTTATTTTTCCATTTGCTTTTGATAACTACTTTTGTTTCTGATTGTGGTAAAAAGGTACTGCATCTTCCAAAAGTTTGTTTATAATGGTATCCAAATGCATACGATCGAAATCCTGATCGCCAACATCTGTATGCTAGTCATTACTTAAACATTCTTGTCTTAGACGTCCCAGACAGCTCAGCAGG